AGACCTGGACAAAACACCAAGGAATCAATCATTTGCTGGTGAAATTTCTTTGTCTTCCATTTACAGATGGCCCACACAGACATTCACAGCCTCCTCCTCCTCCTCTCCCCCTTACTGGGAATGGGCAGAGGCTCAAGTGCTGAGAATGCCCCAAAGACAGACACACACGTCACTGCTGTAGGACATCATGAGCCTGTGACATTCACTGCCACAGTGGCTGGATGGATAGGAAGAGTGAGAAAGAAACAAGACGTTCCTATGGGTAAAGATAATCACGGTTCCTCAAAGTATACAAACCCACACAGACCACAGAATTCTCTCAGGCACTGGAGAATAAACCAGCCACTAAAAGCTGATGAAATGTTCCTTTATGAACTAGGTTCTTGTCCCTGTCTTTGAAGCAGCTGCTCAGGAAGCTGTGTAAGAAGCTGCTCACATCTGGCACTGCCCCTGTGTGCAAGTGCCCTGACGTCCCAGGGCGCTCACATTTCCCTGTCTGGTTTCAATTCCCTGCCTCCCTTGTACCTGGAAGTAAGCAGCCTCCTGCTTGTAACAACCTCAGAATCCATCCTGTACCTGCACCACATTTACAAGCAAGCGCATAGCTAGTCAAGCAGGAAGGAATTCAGCTTTACAGAAATAATCCCCCAAACTGTTATTAGCTTTTTGTAGCTACATTAATTTTAGAAGAAAAATTAGGTCCAAAGTGCTGTGCTCGTTTTAATGAAGATTCGCGGTCACAGTTTAATCCCTGGAGCTCCGGAGCACATCAGACTCATTGCAAACTCCTCACAAAGTCACCAGAGTCCCACGAGTGGTGCCGGGGAAAAGGGGCTAAAGGGGAATGCTTCTGAGCACGAAGTAGATGAAACCCAAGGTCCTGAACCTGCACTTCCCTTGGCTGCCAGCAGCCGCGACGCTTCCAGACAGATAAAAGCTCCCAGCACAGAAGATGAACAAGAGAACAGCTCTGAAGCAGGCACGCTGCTAAAAACAACCTAGGGAGGATGGGCTAGAGATGAAAGCGGCAGGGCTGGAGGTGCTGTAGTGATTTTAGGAGGCATGAAGCCTGGGAGCGGAGCTGGCACCAGCGCCGCCGTTCCGAGCATCCTGAGGTGTGGAGCGCACGTAACAGCATCCCGGCTGCTGTTCGCTCCTGCTGCAGGCAGCAGCGCACTGCCAGCCCCAGGGGAGTCCCCGGAGTCTCACGCTGCTCCTTGGTGACTGTCTCCTTCTTTCCACATCTGCTTTAGCGCTTTCCATCCCCTCGTTTTGGCTCTGGGCATTACGCAGGAGATCCGTGGAGACTCTGTTCTTCTTTAGAATACTTCTTGCTGTTGATTTGAGCAGGAGGAGGCAGAGGCATCTCGGTGTTTCCTCATTACCTTGGTCTGATGCAGCCATAGCAGTATCACAGGGGCATGTGGAGCCCAAGGCTCAGCCGGTGCTGGAGGCTGTGCAGACACACTAGACAAAGACATATCTCAAACTTCAGATGTTCCATGGGGCAGAGTATGTAACACTTGGTGCTGTTCTCCAGGGACAGTTTTCCTAGGCATTTTTGGGGCCCTTGTAACATAAAGACAGAGGAGCTTATGTCTAAAGAACTACAGATCTTGTCCCTGAGGATTGTCTCCATCAGCAGGTAGCTTTCCCCATGTGGGACAGCATGCTGGGCTTTCTCTAGTGATAGCCCCCCTCTGCAGAGACCTCACCTGCTGTGTAAGTGTGCAGGGAACAACCAGATGAGGTGAAGGTGCAGGTGATTACATCCTGATGACTCCTACAGTTTTCCCTGGAGAAGCAAGGACAGCATTTCAAGGCAGCTCAGGGCTGAAGATGCTTGCAGTTGTGACTGATGAAACCATACTGGAGAGATGGAAGGCCCATGTTTGAAGATGGCCTTGCAGCATCAGCCAGATCTGCTTTAGAACCTTTGACAGGAGGTTTTGGAGGACACTCATAAGGGGAGCCTAGTCCCCAAAGGGAGGGATGTTGAGCTGGGCTCACAGGAGTCAGGGCTCAGAAGGGTACATGGATTAAACCAGCTCAAACCCTCATCTGCGTGGTCTCATACCACGTTGGCCTCAGGCTGCTTTCTTCTGCCTCATGCTTGTGTTTGGGGCCAGGGGAGGCTGAGGAACCCATGGTGTTGATATACCAGTGAGACCTGGGCACATCCCTTAAACCCAGACTCCTAGGGCCACTGCAGGGAGGGTCTTGAGGAACGAAGCCATTGCCTGGTTTCCTCATGTGTCCCCCAGCATCAGAGCAGCTTTAGAAGACAGGGTTGCAGCTTCCTTTGACAACCTCACAGACCATGAGGTCTCCCAGGAGAATTACAAGGTGTCCCCAGCCATGAGCTGGGGGCATTCAAACCGAGGTAGCTTGAGGAGATGATTCACAGGGTGTGGGGTACAGGCAAGGGATTTCTCAGGGCTGGCTTCCTCTTTCTCTTCACTGCTCTTTTCCCCTCTCAGCACCCTCCCACTCTAAGGAAAGCTGCCTGCCTATAGCTACAGGGCATTTCTTCAGTTCCTGCCTCTTTGCTGTGATTCCTCCCTGTCCTCTGTGTGTCCTTACAGCTGGCAACGCCGTGTATGTCTTCAGGAAATGTTTGCAAAGGCTTTAGTTCGGTTGGCAATGGGACACAGGGGAAGCACCAGGACTTTGAGGAAATTCTAGCTTGGGGGCCCAGAGGCTCAATGAAACCTCCTGTGTTCATTGCTTGCTCAAAACTGCCTTCAAGAACCGTGTGATGGCTGCGCCTGGCCACTGGGTATGCCCAGGGCATTGTGAGCCCATTCTTGCAGCACCCCAGAGCTGACCTGGAGAGGAACCAGAGTGAAGAGGTGGGGAGTGGGGGATGCCTTGTCCTGCACCCCAAGCACAATAGCTGAGCCCTTGCAGCAGGGACCTGGGGTGCAGTTGGACTCAGTGCACTTTCCCAGGGATGCTCCATTGACCCTGGGAAAGCTTATGTATCTCTGGGGTCCCTGTCCCTTGTGTGCATTCATTATGGTCTGCTCATACATGTCCATAAGGATCTTAGGCTGGTTCAGCCCAGAGAACAAAAGGCTCCTTAAAGGGAGACCTGAGAGCAGCTCCAGTGCCTGAAGGGGCTGCAGGAAACCTGGAGAGGGGCTTGGGACAAGGGATGTAGGGACAGGCCAAGGGGAATGGCTTTAACCTGCCAGAGGGGAGACTGAGCTGAGCTCTTAGGCAGAAGCTCTTCCCTGTGAGGGTGCTGAGGCGCTGGCACAGGGTGCCCAGAGAAGCTGTGGCTGCCCCATCCCTGGCAGTGTTCAAGGGCAGGTTGGACACAGGGCTTGGAGCAAGCTGCTCCAGTGGAAGGTGTCCCTGCCTGTGGCAGGGGTTGGAGCTGGAGGAGCTTTAAGGTCCCTTCCAAAACAAACCAGGCTGGGGTTCTATGACCATACCCTCCCCAAGCTGTGACAGGGAACACACCACTGCTTATGGCCAGAGAGTCCGCAATGTGCTTACACATCTGTAGGGTCTGTGTAGCCCTCAAACATCCACAGGGACCAGATTTCCTGCACACATCAATCCAGAATCTCATGCAGTTACAGGAACAATACTGAGTGCACACACTATTAGGGACCACATCCCCTGCCTGTCCCTGTCTCCCTATAGACACATGTGCGGACCATATAGCGCACACTCCTACAGACACTACTCCCCGCCTTCTCTTGCGGGGACCGTAAGTCCACACGCTGCACCTTGCTCCCACCAGCAGGGAGCATGTCCCCTGCATGGGTCTATAGGCACCCTGCCCACTCTCACCCCTGTGAGGACCCTTCACCTATGCACCCCACAGGGAGTCTTCCCCTGCAAGGACCCTTCCCACACTCATCGCTTTAGGGCCCCTTCTCCTGCAAGGCCCCTTCTCCTGCGCCCCGATAGGACACTTCCCACTCTCCCCCCTATAAGGGCCCTTCCCCTGCGGCCCTATAGGACCCCTCCCACTCTCTCCCCGCAAGGACCCTTCCCCTGCACCCCTATAGTACCCTTCCCACTCTCCCCCCTATAAGGCCCTTTCCCCTGCGCCCCTATAGGACCCTTCCCACTCTTCCCCCTATAAGGGCCCTTTCCCCTGCGCCCCTATAGGACCCTTCCCACTCTCCTCCCTATAAGGCCCCTTCCCCTGCGCCCCTATGGGACCCTTCCCACTCTCCCCCCTATAAGGACCCTTCCCCTGCACCCCTATGGGACCCTTCCCACTCTCCCCCATATAAGGACCCTTCCCCTGCGCCCCTATAGGACCCTTCCCACTCTCCCCCCTATAAGGGCCCTTTCCCCTGCGCCCCTATAGGACCCTTCCCACTTTCCCCCCTGCAAGGACCCTTCCCACTCTCCTCCCTATAAGGACCCTTCCCCTGCGCCCCTATGGGACCCTTCCCCCTCTCCCCCCTATAAGGCCCCTTCCCCTGCGCCCCTATGGGACCACTCTCCCCCCTATAAGGCCCCTTCCCCTCTCCCCCACTCTCCCCGCTATAAATGGGACCCTTCCCACTCTCCCCCCTATAAGGCCCCTTCCCCTGCGCCCCTATGGGACCCTCTCTCCCTCCTGCAAGGACCCTTCCCCTGCACCCCTATGGGACCCTTCCCACTCTCCCCCCTGCAAGGACCCTTCCCACTCTCCGCAAGGACCCTTCCCACTCTCCCCCCGCAAGGACCCTTCCCACTCTCCCCCATGCAAGGGCCCTCTCCCCCCGCAAGGACCCTTCCCACTCTCCCCCATGCAAGGACCCTTCCCACTCTCCCCCCGCAAGGACCCTTCCCCTGCACCCCTATGGGACCCTTCCCACTCTCCCCCATATAAGGACCCTTCCCCTGCGGGCCCCTCCCTCTCTCTCCCCCGGCCCCATCGCAGCGGGCGGTGCCGGTGCCCGCGGTCCCTCCGCGCGCCGCCGCGGGTCGGGGGCGGTCCCGCCGGCGGTGGGCGGAGCTTCCTCGAGCCGCCGGTGCCCGGCCCCCGCGAGGCGCGCGGAGCCCGCCGGCCCCGCCGCAGTCCCGCTCCGGCGTGGTAAGGCCGAGTGCGGGCGGGGCCGGGCCGGGCCGGGGGTGCCGGAGCGCGCCGCGTTCTCACCCTCTCCCCGTCTCTCGCAGCCCCTCTCCGGAGCAGCCGCTCACCGGGTACCGGGACCCCGCCGCCTCCAGCCCCGCGCCGCCGGCATGAAGCGCCCGGCGCCGGGCAGCCGCCGCTGAGGAGCAGCGGGACAACCCCCCCCCCCCCCCTCCTCCCCTCCTTACCCCACAGCCGGCACCCTCCCTGCCGCACCCCCTCAACAGCCACCAGCTCCATGGGGCAGCGCCGCGGCCGCTGAGCCCCGCGCCGCCCGCCCGCCTCGCCCCGCCATGGGGCCGCGGCACCTGCTGCTGCCGCTGCTCCTGCTGCTGTCCCTGCAGCTCCTGGCCCTGCTGCTGGCCGCGCAGGCGGCCGGGCCCCCCCGCGCCAAGGGCAACCGGACCCAGGGGGCGGCGGCGCCGCGGCGGACCCCGAAGCCGGGCAAGGAGCTGCTGAACCAGACACTGGCGGGTCCCGGGGCTGCGGCCCCGACGGCGCTGCCCGGCCGCGGCAAGGGCGCGGGGAGCGGCAGGACGCCCTCCGGCGGCGGGGGAGGCGGCGGGGGCTCGGCCCCGGCGTACGAGACGTGCTGGGGGTACTACGACGTGAGCGGGCAGTGGGACAAGGAGTTCGAGTGCAACAACAGCCTCACGGGCTTCCGCTACTGCTGCGGCACCTGCTTCTACCGCTTCTGCTGCAACAAGCGCGCCGAGAAGCTCGACCAGAGCCTGTGCCGCAACTACAAGAGCCCCGAGTGGGCCCACCCCACCACCGCCAGCGGCGTGCTGCCTGCCGACGGCAGCGACGGCGCCGATGGGGACGCCAACAAATACGACCCGGACAAGGACAGCACCAACGCCACCGTCTACATCTCGTGCGGGGCCATCGCCTTCGTGCTCATCGCCGGCGTCTTCGCCAAGGTGGCCTACGACAAGGCACGGCGTCCGCCCCGAGAGATGAACATACACAGGTGCGACCCTCCCCCTGCTCCCGGCGCCCCTTCCGTCTAGGGGCACCCTCCTCTCCCCAGGTTCCTCCTTTATGCTGCCTCTCCAAGTGTTTCCCCTTTGCACTGTCTGTCCAAAGGCTTCCCTGTCGTGCAACCCATCCAGAGGGTCCTCCTTTCAACCACCCACCTAAGGGCTTCCCCTTGTGTGCAGCCTGTCCAAGAGTTTCCCTGTGGTGTGACCCCTCTGAGAATTCCACAGGCTGCCCCAGGGTCCTGCTTTTGCCCCACTCTCTGAAGGTTCTCCCCCTGTACGACCTGTCCAGGGGGTCCCCCGAGGGCTGCCTGATCAAGTCTTCTTCCTCTGCACTGTCTGACCACGCGTTTCCCCCTCGCGCCACCCTCCCGAGTGTTTCCCCTACCCAGCGGCTGCCCGAGGGCTTCCCTTTCGTGCTGCCGGTCCAGAAGAGCTTCCACTCGCTCACGCTTCGAGGGGTCCCCCCGTGAACTGCTCACAGAGGGGTTTCTCCTTTGTGAGGGCTGTCCCAGCCTTCTCTCTCTGCACCACCCGCAGCTTTTCGCCTTTTCACCATCTACCCGGGGGTTCCTCCTCGGCAGTGCCCAGGGACAACCCGACCCCGCACCCCCATCCTCATCCCCTCCCCTGTCCCTCTGTGGGGGGACCCGTCCTGTGCCCTCTCCCGGCCCCGGGCTGGCAGCCCTGTTCAGCACCGCGGCCGCGGACAGCTCCGCACTGCCCCGCTCTCCCCTCCCCGATCCTCTCATTGACCCCCCGCCTCCCCCATCGCCCCTTGATCCCTCCCATCACCCACCAGCCCCCCCATCGCTTCTTAGACCCCATCACCCCCTGAGTCCCCCACTTCCCCCTGGTCCTCCCCAGCTCTCCTATTGCCCATGGGTCCCCCCCTTGTCCCCCGGAGAGCAGAGACCCCCTGAGCACCATGGGTCCTGCCATGCCTGGCCCGGCTCAGGGGAGAAGTTCAGAGAGTGCGAAGGCAGTTGCTCCTTCTGGCCTTTGCAAGGGGAGTTCAGGGAAGCGCTGGCAGCCGGGAGTGTTCCTTCTCTTTCTTTCTTTTCGCCTCTAAATGGGGATAACTTGAGCTAGTGGTCTGTCTGCTCTGGCCGGCTGCTCAGGAAGTGCTTTGGCATCCTTTTCTCCGTGGTTTTACACATTGCTGTGACAAGAGAGAACACTCTGAGTGTGTCAGGGAAAATCCTGTTTAAAAGCAAAAGCTCAGGCTTCTGTAACAGTTCTCCTGTTGGACACATGCATGTATTCTCTCAGTTCCTATTTAGTGTTTGATGTACTTCGTGCGTGCTACGAATCCGGGAGGTTCCTGTGTTTGAACATAAAAATTAGTGAGGCGCTTCTGTATAAGAGCAGTTTGTGAGCGTGAGTGGGGTGAGCCCTCATCTCTAACAGATAATGATTCATAAAGGAAGTAAGGAAGAAATTTTAATCAAAACCATTAAAATCATTGACCGTGTTTTTAAGGCTGAACTTCAGTCACAGCCAACAGTGTCTCATGGGAGAAACTGTAGCTTTTTACAAAGAAAAGGAGACAAGTGATGCAGATTTTATGTCTTTGGGAAGATGTGTTTTAGACTCTTCCCTTTGTAAATGGTGCTGGCTGATGTGAGTTACTGTGCGTTCAATGGGGACAATAAGTAATGCAGGTTTATGCTTGCTGAGGGTCTGGGCCATGTTTTCAATCACAAACCTGCTCTGACTTTGAGAGAAAATAACTTCATGGTGTTAAAAATCTCTAATATCTTTCAGGTCTCTTGTGTCTGTGCAGTCAGGAGTCCTGAAAGTACCTTAGAAAACATGTTCTTTTAAGTGTTTTCATAACCAGGGGCTCAGTCTCCCAACCACTGAGCTCTTCTGGCTTCAAGGCAACTTTTTCTGTGCCTTCTCTTCACACTGAATTTGGAAATCTGATTTGGGTGCCCGTATGTTGCTTCTCCTCTGGCTCCAGGGTTGGATCCGACACCCTGTAAAAGCAGAGACGGTGTTGCCAGACTCGTCTGAATTATTCCTGATGTTTTAATTTCTTTGATGCTCGCTGTTCTTTATTTAGATAAGGTCTGGTAAAATGATTCACCTGTGTGTAGAAGTATGAATGGCAGATTGAGTGCTTGGAGAGCTTGGCTTTCAGAGCATTATAAGGAGTTGATTGACTTCTATGATATGGTAGCTGGTAAAAGATTATACCTTTCAGAGCTGTGTTACCTGAACTTGATCAACATCGCATGACGGTTTAAATATTATGAAGGGCATCTCCAGCAGACAGGGGCTGCATCAGTCAGAGGTAAAATGCTCTCAGTGCCTGAAGCAGAATGCAAATATGAGGAGAGGTTTATCTTTGTCTGAGAACTGCTGCTGAGTAACAGGGAAGGAGAGAATCAGAATGTAGGCAGGTATTTGTGTCTGAGATTGTGTCACTTGGAGTTAAGTGTAACACCCGGAATAATTCACTGTGGTGATGGCAAGTGCATTAAATCTCAGTGTGCATCCCAGCAAAACCCCTGGGATGAGGAGAACGACAAGTATAAGCAGAAATCATTGCAGGGGGCTAGAAAATGTGCACAGTGAACAGTATCCCACACCCAGGGAAGATGAAGCAAGGCTTCCTTGCTCTTCCCCATAAGCAAGATCACACTTCCAGTTTTATTTCATCATGAATGATTGGTTAGCAGTACTCTGTGTAGATCTTATTTCTCTGCTAAGTTCTCATCCAGCTTTTATAGAAGACCCTTATTAACTCAGAAAGAAGGTTTTGATGGAGGCAGGGCTCATTTGATGTCCTTTGATGGAAAGGAGGGTTTGCAAATTCACAGGAGAACTGGTACTCTCATGTGAAGTGGAAGGATGTCTGTGCATGGAGATACGCGTGTGCATTGCCGAGCTGAAAAGCTGGGCTTGTTTTCAGGCACAACCACGTCCCTTTAAAGCAGAAGCACTGCTGTGATTCTGGGCTGAGCAGTGACAGTAACTGATCCTTAAGTTCCTTTCTAAGAGCAGCTATTGGAAGTACTTTGAAAAACAGGAGCTAAAATATTCATATTTTAGAGAAGCACTTGTAATGCTTTAAACTTGGCTGATTTTTTTTTAATGGTTACAGGATCTTCCAGCCTGACCATGTATGAATACCTCTTGTCTGGATCTTGCTTTGGAGTTACGCTGTCAGAGCTAACACATGCTGGGCTCCATGTAGAAACTGGGGCTGATTTCTGAAAGCTATACCCAGCAACGCTTTGCCTGCTGATGCTCTCTGACTGCATTTGTGACGAGGGTTTGGTTTTGTCAGTTTGTCAGAGCTTTTTCTTTTCTCGAGCACTGAAGTCTTTGCTTTACTTTCAGTATGGGAATGCGTTAGGAAAGCTTTGACGGTGAACGTGCTGTTTGTTTTCAACGCTGAGTATGTTTTTCTGTAACAAGGAAGGGTGACCCAGAATATTCTCTTCCTATGGCCATGACCCTAAATCCCCACGCTACAGCACATAAATAATTCCCTGGTGGTAGTATCGCTCTCTGACCCATGTTTAGCCCTCAGCACCAGTCACCGTTGTGCTCTCTGCTGAGTTAGGAATGATCAGATTGGGAACTGCTCATAGTTTGCAGCTAGGATTTGAAATGTTCTCGGCTCCTCGCTGCCTGGGAGCTGGAGGGAGGCAGTGATGGTGATGGCACTGGGGGAAGCTCAGCTGTTCTGTAGCTGCTGCGAAGCAGAGCTGTGATTTTTTTTTTTTTTTTTTTTCCCTAGCAAACTAGCTTTTGTATCTGCTAAAAGGCCATCTTCTGTATCTGTCCTTGCACGGAGTGTGGCTGTTGGGTGTTTTGGCTTTTGAAAGGGAGAAGGGAAACAAACACCTACTGCTCAGAGGGCTTCACATCACCCTGCTCCTTAGGGCATCTTTGTTGTTACAAAGAAGAAAGATATTTGTGCTACTCTTTACTTTGGTCTCTGCCTTTGCATCCCCTGCGCTGTGAATAATAGCAGTGACTGGTTTATACATTAACTTTCTTTTCCTATGTAGAGACCGCAGTTAAATCAATCCATTTCTTGCCATTTTTCCTTTGCAGCCCTGAATTTCAACAGGAATCAGAGGCAATGGATCTGTCTGTCCACAGATGCATGAAGGCTGCTGCTGCATGATGCTAACTGAAAACACGGGAGGTTTTCTCTTCCTTCAAGCTGCCCCTCACCACGGCCCCTGGGCTCTGTGGCTTCCAGACTGTGGTCACCAGTTCTGCTCTGTGCTGCTGTGTGGTGCTTGAGCCAGACAAACTTCACACTTCACATGTCCCAAGGGCAAGGAGAGGGGCTGTGAGCTCCAACCTGGCCTTAGACAATTTTCTTTCTTGGGTGCTGACACTTCTTTCTTTCCCCTTCTCTTTGTGTTTATGCTCTTGCTTCTTATTTTATTCCACTCTGTCTCATTCATCTGACACACTCATGTGCCTTCTATCTGCTCTTTGCCCTGCTTTGGATTCCGTATTCCTGATGGCTTCCGAGACTCATCTCTGATGTGCCCTGTTCCTCTCGCAGACACAGAATGTAGGTCCACAAGCGCGTGTCAGGCTTGCTTAATGTAAAACAGAAAAAGGCACAATCTTGTGGCCTCAGAGAAGTACCTCATGACTAGTTCTTCTGTTTTGAGCCAGTTCTGCACCTTGCTGTAGTTGGGGTAACTCCCGTGCAGGGAGAAGACCTGAATCTTTTCCTCTTGCCACTGAATTGCTGGAGCTCACCAAATCCCAGCAGGATGTACTGGAGAAGCTTCAGTCTGAAGCTCTTGGCACACTTTGCACTTTGGTAACTGTTTTTTTGGGGTCTTTTTGCTGTGCTGTCTCTCTGAATATATGTTATAAAGAGGCTGTGTTTGATAACAGCACAGCAGCTACAGACTTCCACTGGCTGCTTCCGAGTCTTCTTTCTTTTTGAACCAGGAAGAGGCTACCCTCAGAACTATCTTGCCTTCACCAAATCAGTTCAGTG